CTCTGCTTTCCTCTCTTGAAATATGTTCACATTTTAAGCATGTTGCTGAGTGTGTGCTGCTGGATCTATTAACTGGCCCTTGCACTGGTTCTAATCCGTCTGTTTTTCAGCCCAGAGCTCTTGTGGAACTCCTTGAAGTCTCTAACTGGCTTGCAATTGTGTCTCTTCACCACTTAGAGTCAGATCTAAGCATGCTCTTTGCAGGAAGATGTTAACGAACAACCGACTTCAATCATTTCTTTCTTTTTTTTCTGGTCTCTAACTGACAGCACACACCTGGAAACCACCCCACGCTGTAGCCTGCTTTAAGGACCCACGAATCTGGCTTTATGCCTGGAGTCTTCAAGGCCCTAGCTCACTCTCTCCCCAGGTGAGCTGTTCACCTTGCAGCTGCAACTGAAACTCCCACAGCGCCATTTTTTGCCCCTGAGTTCCAGGTTAGAAAGTCCAACTGTATCCTGGACATATCCCTGGCTACCTGAAACTCAACAAGGGCAAAATGGAACTTGTGTTCTCAGTTCTGCCAGTGAAACCTCCACCTGCTAGAAACTACCCCAAGCTAGAAAGCAGGGAGCAGTGGTGTGCTGGTAAGCATTTAACAACTGGCTCTCTGGGGATGGGAGGGTAGAAAAAAGCTCTGATTTGTAGTGTCTGCCAATTTCCATGGTGCAAAGACTCCCATTATAGTCAATTTCAAACTACCAACAACAAGCTGCTAAATTCCAAGGTGGGAAGAGATGGATAGAGCTGGCTTTTTTGAGCTGGTAGGAGCCGGCTCCAGCACACCACAGCATACAGTACCCCTGCTGCCAATCACAAGGCCTGACAAGTTAGCTTTCTCTCTGTTTTGGGACCACAACAGTCTACAGACATCCTTGGCTCTTCCCCTTTGTGGATAACAAGAGAGTTCCTGTGGCCAGGATTCTCACCTGGCTATGGCTGACTAGCTCACTGAACACCTGTGGGCAATACATGGCTGTTGACTCTATATAAAGAGCTCCACCCAGTGCTCTGGGCACGACATGGTGGCAGGGCTGCAAGGCTGAGGAGCTCTTGTGCACAGAGGCACAGAGGACGGCTGTGCGGGACGGCTATTTGGACAGAGGAGCTCAGAGGACGGCTGTGTAGACAGAGGGGCCCAGAGGCAGAGACCCGGCTTGCTGTATGCAGACTCACTCTGAGTGAACGGGATTCTAGTGACTGACATGCCACCTGGAAATAAAGTTGGGTATAACCCTTTCACCCCAAGAACATATTGATGTCATTTTCTTTGGTCACACTGAATCCATAGCGAACTTGCCCGGGGCTGAAATGCATTGGCAAGACACCCTTCCTCATGCCTCACTAAATGACCCCCTGTCCAGAGCTGCCCTCCATCTGCCCTGCTAGACGCCACCCCCACAGGAGCCTCCCACTGATCTCCCCACATCCACTCATACACCCCCCCCACCCATTTACCACAAAGCAGTCAGTATCTTTTTATAACAGGAACCTAAGCATATCTAACCCAGCAATTCCCCTCCTAGATAATCTACCTAAGAGAAATGTAACATATGTCCACACTAAAGCTTGTACACAGATGTTCATAGCAGCGTTATTCACAAAAGCCAAAAAGTGGAAACACAAATGTGTCAACCAATGAATGAGTAAATAAAATATGGTTGATCCATAATATGGAATATTATTCAGCCATAGAGAGGAATGAATTTCTGATACACATTACAATCTGGATAAACCCTGAAGGCATTATGCTCAGTGAAAGAAGCCAGCCAGTCACCATGGACCACATAATTGTATGATTCCCTTTATATAAAATGTCCAGCAGAGGCAAATCCTTAAAGACAGGAGAGTAATGGTTTCCAGGGGCTGGGGAGGATGCAGGGACAGGGGTGGGGGGCAATGGTTTAGGGGTGCAAGGTTTCTTTTCAGGGTATGAAAAGGTTATAAAGTTGATTGTGGTGATGGTTGCACAGCTCTGTGAATATACTGAAGACAATTGAATTATGCATTTTAAGTTGGTGAATTGTATGGTATGCAAATTATATCTCAATAAACCTATTATTAAAAAAATCCTCAGGACAAAGTGCACAGTCAACAAAATGCTGGGTGACTGGCCCCTTGCAAGCCCTCCTCTTACTCTCAGGCCGCACCCCCACCAACCTGCCCCAGCCACACTGGCCTGCCTTCAGCTCCCTCAGTGCCAGGTACAGGGAATTTGCATACATTCAGCCCTTCCTTCTACCCTCAAGCCCATTCAGCACAGACTGTCCCTCACCTTCTGATTCAGCATTGCCTCTTCAAGGGTGCTGTCCCTAGCTCCCCATTCAGGGCTGGCTGCCCCCAGGGGAAATGTTTTCCCAGCACCCCAATCTCTTCCATATCAGTACTTGTTCAATATCTGCCTCCTGGTCAGATGGAAGCACCCAGAGGGTATGAACACATTTGTCTGGTGGACCTGGGGTAAACTTAATGCCAATCACAATGCCTGATACACTCGCCTTCTTGCTGTTCTGTGAGCACATCAAGCTTACACCTAACCACAGGAACTTCACACTCTGCCTGGCAATGTTGGGGCCCCCAGAAGCCTCCTGGTTGGCTCCTTCTTCTGCGACCTCCTTAGAGATCTTCTGTAAATACTCTGAATTCCATGTTACTTTAGTTCTCCTTACTCTGCTTTGTTTCTTCACACCACTTGCCACCTGTGGAAATCATTCTTTTTTTTATTATTATTATTAGTTACTGTCTATCTCACTTTTAGAAAGTCAGCTTGGCAATAGACCCCAAATAGTCAACACAATGCTGAAGGAGGATAACAAAGTCAGAGGATTGGTGCTACCCAACTTCAAGTCTTACTATAAAGCTACAATGATCCAGACAGTGTGGTATTGGTGAAAGAATAGACAAGAGGACAATGGAACAGAATAGAGAGCCCAGAAATAGACCCACACATATATAGTCAACTGATCTTTGACAAAGGAGAAGAGGAAATTCAATGGAGAGAGTCTTTTCAACAAATGGTGCTGGAACAACTAAACATCCACATGCAAAAAAGTGAAGCTAGACACCAGCCTTATGCCTTTCACAAAAATTATCCCAAATGGATTATAAGCCCAAATGTAAAATACGAAACTAAAAAACTCCTAGAAGATATCATAGTAGAAAACCTAAGTGACCTTGGGTTTGGTGATGACTTCCTAGATACAATATCGAAAGAAAAAACTAGTAAGTTGGGCTTCATTAAAATTAAAAACTGCTGTGCAAAAGATACTGTTAAGAGAATTTTATTGTTGTTAACAACCATTTGATCAATAAATATGAGAGATGCCCTCTCAAAAAAAATAAATAAATAAAATAAATAAAAGTCATTGGATTTATAAACTAAAAAAAAAAAAAAAAGATACCGTTAAGAGAATGAACAGACAGCCACACACAGGGCACTCATTTTTGCAAAACACATATCTGATAAAGGACTGGTATCTAAAACATACAAAGAACTCTTACAACTCAACATTAAGAAAACAAACCATCTGATTTAAAAAAATGGGCATAAGATCTGAACAGACACCTCACCAAAAACGATATAAAGATGGCCAAAAAAAGCATATAAAAAAAGGTTCAACTTCCCATCTCATCAGGAAACTGCAAATCAACACAACAGTGAGATCCTACTACACTATCAAAATGGTGAAAATCCCAAACACTGACAACACCAAATGCTGGTGAGGATGTGGAGCAACAGGAACTCTCATTCACTGATGACAGGTATGTGATTTGGTACAGCCACTTTGGAAGACAGTTTGGTGGTTTCTTACAAAACTAAATATACTCTTACCATATAATTGAGCAATTGTGCTTCTTGGTATTTACCAACGGAGTTGAAAATTTATGTCCACACAAAAATCTGTACATGAAAATTAATAGCAGCTTATTCATAATTGCCAAAACTTGGAAGCAATCAAGATGTTCAGCAGGTGAATGGATAAATAAACTGTGATGCATCCAGGCAATTGTGCTCCTTGGTATTTACTCAAAGGAGTCGAAAACTGAGTACATTTTAGTGCTAATATTCCAAGAACTAAAAAGAAATGAGCTATGAAGCCATGAAAAGCCATGGAAGAACATTAAGTGCATATCACTAAATAAAAACAAGTCAGCTGCAAGACAGCAGGAATTCTGAATTGTTCACTATTGTACCCCCA